AAATACCAGGTCATTCTATGCGTTTATCATCGTTCAGCTTCAGTATTTGTTTATTTATATGGATGCAAGGTATTTCAATACTTTTTTCTTACAGCTTCGGTATTTGTTTATTTATATGGATGCAAGGTATTCAAAATACCAGGTCATTCTATGCGTTTATCACGTCGCAGTGATTCGCATGGAATGGCAAGTGAATACCTTGCATCCATATAAATAAACAAATACCGAAGCTGTAAGAAAAAACACAGTTGGTGAGTTGAGTCTGATTACGCAAAGAATAGCTGTAGAAAAAAAAAAGAGAATAAATAAAGATTTAAATTGCTCACGATTGATGGGCATCGTCGTCGCTGGTTACGGTCCACAAAAGCAGCTTTTCAATTCCCATTGAAAATTAATAAGAAAACCCCGAAATTTCCTTAATTCCAATTGGAAAGCTGTTGACTTAAGAAAGAGACGCGCACAACTACCTCATAGAGACGCCACGATCGTACCAACAGGCACCAGGCATGTCAATTTTTTTTTGCAATAAAAATGCATTGGTAACAATTAAACAAAAGAAAGTGGTGGGAAGAACGCGTCGGTCCGCCATTTTGTATGCGTCCAAATTTCTAATTAATTAATGCGAATTTCCCAATTAAGAGTTATTACGGAATACGCACATTTAATCACAAGCTGCGTAAGGGATTAGCGAACAAATTGGGAAACTTTCTACAATGCAAAAAAAATGTTTTTGTTTCGAATCAGATTCATCACTAACCTTTAATTGCCGCTGAATCTAATGGGGTTGTGATCTCCGATGATGGTTTTCTCAAAATGCAACACAGTTCATCGAATTTAAACTAGTTGCACAACAATTTTGAAATTATAAAACCGTAGGGCACGCCGACTCGTAGAAGAACGAATTGTGACTGAACTCCCACTCCCGCGAACCGAGGTAAAAGCAGGTGATGCCAACTGATGTTTAAATTCAAAAATTATTAATAACATTAAAACTCCCTATTGTGGATCAATTGATAAACGCACTAGCTCCAATATGACAAAAATCAATAAATTAATAATAATTATCCAATTAAATGAATGAGTTAAAGTCAATATGTGTGTTAAAAAAAATGAAGAAAATGTTAATCGATTGAATGAAATTCAATTCAAAACATTTATAAACCAATCGATTAGTTTGCACTGGAACAAATCATTTATATCAGTGCATCCTTCGAGCTTCAATTTTTTATTCCACATTTACTCACAACCAATCGATTAGTTTATTTTAGAACTTTGATAATTCCTTCAAGTCTGATTCAGCACTAATTTACATCACATGTTGGATAGTTATAAAATATCTGTTTGAACAGATTAAGTATAGTTTATGAAGTTATAAGTAAAAAAAAATCATGAAATAGTCAGGATTCATTGGAACCGAACCGATTTCCAATTTGCACTGAAAGTTAATGAGAAAGCCCCGAAATTTAAACAATTAATGCTCACATCTAATTGGAATGATGTTGACTTATGCAAGGGACGCGCACTACTACGCGATAGAGACGCCACACTCGTACCAATTGGTAGCTGGTACGTCTTTTTTTTTTTGCAATAAAAATGCGTTGCTATCAACAATAAACAAAATAAAATGGTGGGAAGAACGCGTCGGTCCGCCATTTTTAATGCGTCCAAATTTCTAATTAATTAACGCAAATTTCTCAATTAAGAGTTATTGAGGAATACGCACATTTTAACATAAGCTACGTAAGGGATTAGCGAACAAATTGGGAAACTTTCAATACAATGCAAAAAAAATATATTTGTATTAAAATCAGATTCATCACTAACCTTTAATTGCCGCTAAATCTAATTGGGTTGTGATCTCCGACGATGGTTTTCTTAAAACACAACACAGTTCATCAGATTCAAACAAGTTGCACAACTATTTCGAACATTCAAAACGCATTGAAGAACAAACAGCGACTGAGATCGTCCATCTCCGCGAACCGACGCTAACGCAATTGGTGATGCCAACTTGATATGTTTAAATATTTTTTTTTCGATAACATCAAAACTCCCTCTTGTGGATCAATTGATAAACACGATAGCGCAAATATGATAAAAATCAATAAATTATTTATAATTAACCAATTTCTATTACTAATTGTTAATGTTAATTATTCTACTTATAGCCCAATCAAGTTTGCGCTGTAATTCAAATTGTGAATGCAGTTTTAAAACATTGATAATTCCTTCCTAGTTATTATAAAATAACTATCTGAATATAGTTTATGAAGTTACAAAGAAATCTTAACATGTGTACTTGCTCATAATAAAAACAGCCTACCGGGTTGTGAAGGGCAACTCTAAACAATAGAATATCGATGTTCTTTTGTTTTAAATTTATTTACGTCTATATCAAATAAGAAGAAATACTATAGGGAATTAGATTGTAGAGGGTGGGTTTTGATCAGAACCGATTGATAAGCCAAGTAGTATGGGTGATGAGGTATAGCAGACTTAATACATTTATTAGGTACAACATTTCAACGATAAACATAAAACATGGAAACATAACATGCGAAATAAAATTGTCAATATATAAAAAATTGCATAAAATACAGCGTTCAAAAGAAGCGTCTGCAGTTAAAACGGCGGCGTATCACAGGTCATCGTTATCATCGTCGTCGCTATATTTGTATGTCGTCAGTTTCTCGTGTCTGATCCTCAGCCTCTCGCATTTGGGACACTCGTTATTCTTACGAAAGTAACAGACCTTGTGCAGCACAGAGTTGCAGATTTTGCAAATGACGACATTGTCGTCGAAGGTGAAGAGAACTTCATCGTTTGAGCAGATCTGGCAGAGGTGTCCACGTCCTCTGCACACTTCGCAATCATCCTTGATGTGCTTGAGGAACACCGACGCCAGATTCAAAAGTTTCGATGGCAATTCACCAGTGTTCGTGTCCAGTAAATCTTGCATGCTGTACAGATCGGGGGATTCAATCAAGTGCGAAGTGACGGAGTTCTTCCAGAGGAAGTGATCCTCTTGTGCCAATCTGCAGATGGAAATGTACTTTCGCATCTCGTTCAGACCGTTCCGGATGCGCTTCACCAAATCCAATTCGTGGACGAGCGAGAACAACCTGGGATTCAGCTTCTCCAAATTGATCAGCGGTCTGTTCGCCGTTATTTTCAGTAGTTGTAGGCTGGCTTGAGAGACTGGCTGCGGTACGAAATCCCAATTGTGCATTAATCTGGCTGGTATAATGGCAGATCCTCCCCAATGACATGCAGAGCAATAATACATTCCGGTGTAATCGCAACGTCTAACTTCATTGTCCGACCATCCTATTGCTAAGAAAGAAATATATATTAATATTAAATACATCTAAAAGTGCACGAATATTGTAAACTACCAGCTAATTTTACCTGAGAATATAAATCTTGCAAAGCAAGCAAGTCCTTTCGGTAAGGCTAGCATAATACAAGTTTAAATACATTACTTCAATACTACGACCCTTTGAAAGGGCGACTCTTACCTATCGGCAAAACCACCTTACATTCGGCGCATTGATATTGCTGAGCTGAAAGACCTTCTTCGGGACAAATGTTCCTCTCGTATTCTCCCCTCTCGCTTATCGTCACATGAGCGCATTCTCTGATTATCCCAGCTATACACTTGTGATGGCAACTGTATCCACAATCCTCACATTTATACCAAGCCTGAACTAGATGCCTGCACACAATGCAAATTAACAACAATTTACAATTAATAATTTTCAAATATTTACCAAATGGCACCAGTGCAGTGATCACAGTATTTACTAGCAGTGTTCTTCAGAAATGGCTGCAACAGCAAATGATGTCCCCTCACTGTTCTCTTGGAAGCTCCACTGCTTTTGTTCCTTGGATGCCTGAAATGTTTAATATTAATCTATCTTGTAATACTTCATATAAATGAAAACTTACTCAGGATCATAATGAGCCTCCTTACACTCTTGTAACCTCAGTCTAAGCTCAATTAAATGCCTCACCAACCATTTACGCTCTGTTGAGATATTTTCACACTCCAAAACAAGATCTTTGCATCTGTTGATAGCCTTGTTCAATTCTTCCTCTGTTGCTTCCTGCAATAGTACACATCAATGACTGAATGACATAACAATAGAATTTCAAAATAATTTACCTTGTTCAAAGCCAACTTTAGCTCTTCAGCTGCTAAAGTTATCGGTAGCAAATGGTCCTCTGATGTCTCTTCCACTGATAAACAGCCAGATGTCGTCGAGGAGCTCGAGCTCATTGTCATCATCTTAATACAATGAAGTGGACTTCAGCCAAGTGTCCTCATTTAAATAACTCTGATGATGATTCACTTCACCCACTTCACCATTCCTTTACTAAACTAAATCGTTCCCTTATTTATTTACTGTTTTTATCAGTGATTTTTATTTGTGCTGAAGAAAAAATAGAATAACACACAGCTCATGTCAGAGTGACGTTTCTGAGCGAAAACCAGCTGATGACTGTTCATTTGAACTACTGTCAGAAAATAGAAGTAAACAAAAGAACTGTCACGGATTGCATGATTTTGCAAAAAAAAACTATATTCCGTTGCAGTTCTTCAGTGTTTATTGTCGTATAACAATGTGTTTATTGCTGCGTTCTTGAACGTGAACCAAATGATTGAGTGATTAAATATTTGTAATTATAATTAATATAGTAATAATCAATCGTTTGAACTGTGGTGTTAGTTTTCAGCTGAAATATGTACACTTAAAGCAATATAGTTTTGTGATTACTAAAAAAAAAAATCAATAGGAGAAAAGAAGAAAGAAAAACGTCAGTCAAAAATGATTCCTTGATTTTAGGAGAGAGAAAAATAATTAATTTTGTTGAAAGGTTTGATGAATTCCTTGCATAAATTTTAATTACGTATAATTATGGATGTATCTTTTGTAGTTTAGTTTCTATCGGTTTGTTGTTTTGGCAGCACTTCCCTAAAGTGAGTTTCCTATTGCAGTGTTTTTTTTTTCTTGTTGAGGAAGGTAAATTTTACGCGTATCGAGCGAACGAAATACTATGGAATGCGATTGATTACGTGCTCCGTCTCGTTCTCAGAGTTCTAGTGATTTGTGCAGTGTTATTGTTGGTACAATTGTTCGTGTCATAACAGAAGCTGGAAAATATGCAACTTGAGGAAACTCAGGTAAATATGTTTGTTTTTTTTTTCGGTTCGGACGATTCGTTTGAGGCGATTTCCGTGAAAGAGTATTATTTCGTTCAGGTGTTTCGGTTTTTGACAACGCGCGAGTTTTTTTGTTTTCGGATGGTAATTGTCAAAACTCATTTTTTCATCTAAACACAAGCACAGCAGGACACAGGACTCCGCTCAAAATTCTTAGTAAAGCTCACGTTCCGTACGAATTTCGGAAGCTGAAACGCGCGACGACCAAGTCAATTCTGTAATACGCTATATTTCATCGAGTGATATATTTCCATTCAGGTGATGATACTTTAATGCAGAAGTCATGAATTTTGAAGAAGAATACATGTACGAGGATTCTGGAAACGAGACGAGTGGAGACGACGTCGATTTCGGCGTCGAGGCAGACGGATGCTCTCACACCAACATCCAGGCCTACGAGGAGGAGTATCAGTTCGAGGTGCTCTCCACTGAAGCAATTGTTCAGCACATGATTGATTGCATACGAGATGTCAACACTGTGGTCCAGATCCCATCTACCACCACCAGAATCTTGCTAAACTATTTCAATTGGGACAAGGAGAAACTGATGGAAAGGTATTACGATGGGAATCAGGATGACCTCTTCAAGGAGGCCCATGTCATTAATCCGTTCAAGAAGCAGACCACCCCCACCAAAATAAAGAGTTCCAAAAAGCTGTCTGGTAAGATGAGAATAATTATTCATTTTCATGCATTGATTCGAATTTGTTTTCAGGTACTGAAGAATGTGACATTTGTTTTATGGTCTTGCCTCCTGCCGAAATGACTGGTTTAGAATGTGGACACAGATTTTGCTATCAATGCTGGAACGAGTATCTTACAACTAAAGTGATGGAAGAAGGTGTTGGTCAGACGATCGCCTGTGCAGCTCATAATTGCCCTATACTTGTGGATGATCAGACTGTAATGAGGTTGGTCAAGGATAATAGGGTCAGGTTTAAGTATCAGCACTTGATCACAAACAGTTTTGTGGAATGCAACAGATTATTGCGTTGGTGTCCCAGTCCCGATTGCACTTATGCTGTTAAGGTAATCTTTCAGAGTTTAAATTGCAATGATGATTGGGTGAGTAATAGTAATTCGGGATTGATGGTTGTAGGTTACTTATGTTGATTCGAGACCGGTACAATGTACATGCGGACACACGTTCTGCTTCGCTTGTGGAGAAAACTGGCACGATCCGGTGCGATGCACTATCCTACGGCGGTGGATCAAAAAATGTGACGATGATTCTGAAACATCAAATTGGATTGCGGCGAATACCAAGGAGTGTCCCAAATGTAACGCCACGATAGAGAAGGACGGCGGTTGCAACCATATGATTTGCAAGAACCAAAGTTGTAAGGCCGACTTCTGCTGGGTATGTTTGGGACCCTGGGAGCCTCACGGCTCGAGTTGGTACAACTGCAACCGATTTGATGAAGACGAAGCGAAAGCTGCTAGAAATGCCCAAGAGAAATCGCGGGCCAAACTGCAGAGATATCTGTTCTACTGCAATCGCTATATGAATCACATGCAGTCACTTCGTTTCGAACACAAGTTATACCGCTCCATCAAAGATAAAATGGAGGAGATGCAGCAGCATAACATGAGCTGGATCGAAGTGCAGTTTTTGAAAAAGGCCGTGGATATCTTGTGCGAGTGCCGACAAGCGTTGATGTACACCTACGTGTTTGCTTTTTATCTGAAGAAGACGAATCAGTCTGTGATATTTGAGGATAACCAAAAGGATCTGGAGACGGCCACGGAGATGCTCAGCGAGTACCTGGAGAGGGATATCACCCAAGAGAATCTCATCGATATTAAGCAGAAGGTACAAGATAAGTATAGGTATTGCGATGGAAGGCGCAAGGCGCTGCTCGAACACGTTCACGAGGGCTACGAGAAGGATTGGTGGCAATATTCTGAAACATAGATAGATCACGACAGATTTTTCGATTTATTTTTTTTACAAACACTTTAAATGGTAAAACACATTTATTTACTTTTCTCCCTTGAAAACTAAACTAAAATCAAAATTCCCCACTCCCAAAACAAACAAACAAAAAAGAAGAAAATTATTGTATATTTTTATCGATGTTGTTAACTTAAGCCCGCCTCAAGAAGGTACGGTTCTAATTCTCTTTCTCTCTCTCTTTTTTTATATTATATTTTATTTGAAATTTAGCACTTCAAAGCCGAAACAATGAAACAAACAAAACACACACACAATATTCAAAGGACTAAAGAAAACAAAAACAAAACAAAAAAATGGAATTTCACACTAAACGGATATTTTTTTAATATGCCTGGGTTTAAGGAAGTTTCTCATTTTAAATAATATAAATTGGTTTGTTACATTAAATGAATTTATTTAATTTAGAGGATAAACAAATTTGTTTCGCATTTATTTATTCCCTTCTTCATTTCGCATGCAAAAAAAAAAGAGGAAACATCAATTACATTTGCGTAAACTATTATTAAATGCAAGTCGTGGCGGTTAGCTGCAGTTGATGTGCGCTTCAGATGTAGTTGGATTTTATTGTTTGTTCTTCTTGCTGGGAGGTTCATCAGATTTCTTGGTTTGTGTGTTCGTGTAAGCAGGTGTAATCCAATAAGGATTCTCCTCCGCTTCTTTGGCGAACTTCAAGATAGCCTCTCGCGGATCTTGATCATCATCTACTCGCTTACTCAATCCCAAATTCCTAATAACGTAACTGCTGAGAGTACCGCCGCTTGAAGCAACGCGACCTCCTTGTCCAGAAGTGATCGGCAAATCAGGACGTTTACTCTTGACCGGATCCAAACGATCCTTCTCCATCTGTTTCCTGCTCGTCTTGCGCCTCTCCTGTCTGAACAATGGTAACGCGTGCGGGGTGATGACTTGCTGCGAACTAATAACCTCGGCGTGTTGCATTTTCCTCTTCATTTTAACGGCACACAACGTCGCACCGCGCATACTCTTCTTGTCGTCGTAGAAGCATTTTATAATGCCGTTACCGGAGCCGGCGAATATCTGATTCAGCTTCGTGTGCCATATGATTTTGATAACGTGCGTTTTCGCTACCTCCAGTTTTTGCAGCAACTGAAAACTCGACGAATCGTAGAGCAACAAGTTACCAGTTGTTTCCCCTTTGTTCAGCGAGGTGCATGTGACCACGAGTCTATCGTTGGGGCTGAATATTGCATCTGTCGTGTCGTATCTGGTGAAGAGATCGTTGACAACATTCACGGGTTCTTTGAACTTCCTCAGATCCCACAGCTTCATCGTCTCGTCCATGCTCCTCGTCAATAAATGTTGCCCGACGTGAGAGAAGCAGATGCTGGTCGTCTCGCAGGCTTGATGCGCTTTCCTGCAGATACTCGCTGGCGCCACAGTGCTCTTCCGCAAATCCCAGAGCTGTATACTTCCATCGGAACAACCCAAACCAAAAACGTGTCCGTCTCTGCTGTAGCAGCACGCTGTTGGCGGCGCCTTCAATCCGTTCTGCGCTCTGCATTTCACCAACGTCTTGTGCACTTTTCCTCCTTGATACATATCCCAACTCCTGGCGGTGCCATCCGCGGATGTTGTTAAAAACTCTTCGCGAGAAACTGGACTCCAGGCTCCGGCCAATAAACCGGACGTGTGTCCCTTCGTTCTGGCCTGATCGGATAAGTACATATCACCTTTGACGGTCTCCAATTTCTCGAAACCATCCCTATCCACGACTTTCGCTTGAGCAGCTCCAGACACCACCAGCAGCAAGTCTCCCGTACCTGAGTAATTCAAGTAGCGAATCGGATGATTGTCGCAAGGTTGAAGCGTGCGGAACGATTTCATGCTCGAATCCATCCCAGAGAAATCCCAAAACGAAACATCGTAATCCACAGAACCTACAAAAAAAAGAAAAACATCAATTAAATTTCTCCTAAATAATAAATACAAGCGTTATTACCTGACGCCAATCTGGCTCCACTAGGATCACAGCTCAATGCTGTCACAGCTTTTGTGCCATGGTTCATTATAACCTCGTGCGAACAAGGTACAAACGTCCCTGTGTCTTCACCATCACTCTCCTCTCCAGAGCTGTCAGAATCTGATCCATGTTCTTTAGATTTCTTTTTACTTGTGTCCACTTGTGCTAAAACTATTTTTCAAAATGCATTAATACTAAATCACTTAAATTCAAGCTATAAATTACCTTGAGGAATAGGTGGTCCAATTAAATCATCATCATCTGAGGAAGAAGATGATTCCTCTTCTTTATGTGTATCAACCTCTGCAGGTTTCGTTATTTCTCTAGCTGTTTTCTTAACTTGATCGAGCATTTCCTAAAATGAATTCAACAAATGAAAACAAGTTAAATTATCTTCTGCTGCTGGTGGTGGTGATGAAATTACCTGTATATTGAAGGTTTTAGCTTTTTTACCAAAAGTCGATATACCCATGACTTCTTTGATCTGTTCATCTTCATTGTCATCTTCGAGTTCCTCAATCTCTACAGGCTTGGAAGTGCCTTCACTGAACGATCCAATTGTGAGATCCGATTCTGTCGCTAGGGTCTTCTCAGCAAAGTTCGTGCTGATCTTACCAAACACTATTTTCTTTCCTTTATTCATCCTTAATTGTTATAACTTACATTAACAGATATACAAACACTATGAAATCAACAATAACAATTCAAATAGGTTAAGTTCATTTCGCATTGAACTTCAAATATTCTGACACTTGCTTTGCTAAATTTAACACCAGATGGGACTAACTTTATAAATACATTGAATAACAGTATGTGATAATAAACTACATCAATATATATATATATACTATTTATTATTACAATTATAAATAGAAATTCATTTGAATTCGAATCTACAACTAAAATAACGCAATTCAATTTTAAGTCTAAAAGTATTTCTTTATTTAGTAACCAGATGGTGCTTTCTCATAATAAACAATATTACATAACCACTCTAATAATACATTTTGCTTAATTCATATTTGTGATTGTAGCTTTAATAACAATTTCATAATTTGTAAAGCGCCAAAAAAAAAATGCTGAACTATAAACTAAGTTACGAACCAAGATTTAAATGGCTGGTTTGCTGAAATATTTATTAGAGTCATCTCTCGGATTAACTTTAAAGCCCACAGTTCAACTAATTTGGCGCTGAACTAATTATTTTTTTTTAAATATAATTGTAATGTTTTGAAAATGTTTGTATTATTTAAGATTTAAATTGAATTCAATGTTGTTTCATAATCATATTTAAGGTAATGATTGTATTGAAATTATAGATATTATTTATAATTTGACAGGTGTCAGCGACCATTTGTTTTAATATCCAAAAGTTTCATAACTATCTTAGATTATTCGAAGCTTATAATCACAATTGTTATTAGTCAGATTACTTGATTGTTGTATGTAGAATGAAAATTTATTGTTTATTAAAACACATGCAGATATTTTCACATACAATTTAGATTATTCTAATTAAGAATTGTCAGAAAATGGAGCGCGTTAATAATAATAATTGTAATAAGTTTAAATTGAGTGTACAAAAAAAAATAAAAATTCTCACGTACACTGTACAATGGTAATTGTCCACGGTTCATTGAATTGGATTTATCTTTTATTGCGTTACGACGATTATAAATGGAAATAATGTATTTAATTAGTTCAGGGTAAAAAAAGAAGTGCAGGTAATTAATGAAACGATAAGATAAGATCAGCGTGTGCGTGGTTCATCAATTCAGCAGATTTTCCCAATGTCATGATTCAAGTGTGTGCGAATTTCTATAACTTCCATTATTCCTTTACTAATTGATAAAATTTTCAATAGCTTTTTGCAAAAATGAATTTATCAAAAGTATATATTATTCGTCTGGAAAACCAGAAAGCGTATATGAGTTGGTTTTCCAATAATAAAAAAAAATATTGAACACTTCTTTTGCTTGTTAAACTATGAAAACTTTCGATTTGCTGATGTGTACCGACTCTCCTTTCGAAGTCTGCATATTCTAGTTTAAAACAATAAATGCGTTGTTAAATGCGTCTTATAGTTTTCTTTACAACCATAAAAAAAGAAGAAATTGAGCATTTACATAAAGCAGTATAATTCCAACAGAAATTGATTATGATTATGAAAATGGAATTTAATTACAATTAGAAGAGTTGCCTGTAAATATAATTTCTCTGTGTAAAGTAATAACGTTGATGATACAATTGTAAGTAAACCTGAAAATCATGAAACATTTTGATTTGATGGAATCTTAAAAAGTCATATTTTAAGATCTAAATTCATTGAAGTATTTTGTTGTTGAAATTTGTCAATTGATGAAAACTATCAAAATTAAGACTTCTACAGTGTTTTTCTTATGTGTCGACTGTTGCAATATTTCTTAATTTGACTAGAATTTATCAAATTCCATCAAATCAATGAAAGTACGTGTAAAAATGTGCACGAAATCCATCGATTTTTGTGTGTTTGATAGCTGTAACCGATAGGTGTCATCGCTAAAAATAAATGTCGCCAACGTGATTAGATGTGATATCAGCAGACAATAAAAACAAGATTATCTTAATTTCGAAACGTTCGCGATCACAGAGGCAGATCAAGTTTTTCCTTATCTTAAATCTCAACGTAAATCGAATTTCATTGTTACGTCTTATTATGCGAATAATGATGATAGCAAATAATAAAAAAAAAAATAATTGAAACACGAGTCGAACTGATGGTTTTTTTGTTTTGTTTGTCCTCTCTAAGTGAGAGAAAACAAAATATGAGTCTATTGATCTGTTGATTTGAGTTCGTTAATTGGTGGATTGGATGGGTTGAAGGACCTTTGCTTCTTCGTAAACCATTAATAGTAATAATAGTAACAACAACAACAAAAGAACGGGTCTATTAACGTCGAGGAAACTGTACTTGTTTCTTGTAGTTAAGCAACGTCGAACTCTGACACTGTTCGTCGTTGGTGATTCGGAAATCTGCAAATAAAAGTATTAAGTTTAAAGCACACAAAAATCCGTTTAGAAATAGAAACGATGAAATTGGAAAGTGTCTTTCGTGCGATGCATTTATTTGTTATATAGATATTGTTTCTTTTTACTTTTTTCGTTCGTTGCTGTTGTATAAATTAAATTTCTATTTTATAATAATAATCTGTCCGGTCGTGTTGTCAACGAACTCTCGCACACTCGTCGAACGGACACTATGCAAACTATGCGGGCAAATGCACTTCTTCGGATTCCTCCTTCGGGCGGTGGTAAATCCAATGACGTGGCAGTAAAAGCCACGAGAGCCGGGGGGCACTAAATCGTCGTCGTTCACTAAAACTCTCGATGCGTGTGTATGTGCTCTAGATAAACCCGATTCCTTTTATACATATTTGATGTTGCACACAGCACCACTGATATTTTCCGCTTTTATCGAACACATCGGAAATACATACAATTATTCAATTACATCGGCAAGCAAACATCAAATATTGCGCAGATACTAATCCTTTTAAAATTTCATTTTTATGCAAATCGCACGTTTTTCAACATCTTTTTCGTTTGCTTGCGAAGACGAGAAATAGAGGTTTAATTCCTACATACTCAATTACTCATATTATCAAACAACGTATATTGAGATGACAAAAGATCAAAATTCATTTTGCTATCAATTTCAAATTCATTCGATCAAGTGTCATCACTCACAATTTCATTTGTCATAATTTTAAACAATGCTAATAATTACCATGACAACAAGATAATTTAGATGACTTAAAGCAAATCTTAAAGGCAGATTCGATAAGCGTTTTACAATCAACGATATTTCATTACATAATACTTATTTATAATCATTTATGCAGTAAAATTAGCAAAACGAATATCGTTTTGCAGCTTTCGCAATTACGAATGTAATGTTATTATTTTCAATAGCAGTAATTTGCGCGCAAGTTTCTCGAAAACGTTATGATCGTATTTAGTTTACTTTTCTGGAAACTGATGAATATTTAGAAGAAGGATAAGAACACGCGCGCAATTATTATATTGAATCAAACGTTATTGTTAGAGGAGAACGAAAAATGTCTTTAGAGGCGAAAGGCGCAATTGTATTTGATCATCAATGCAAATTTTTGCTCACTTCTTGATAATGAATGAATATTTTATACGAAAATTTAGTAAAGTTTTGTTGTTTTGTTGAAGACAAGGACGTTTTTAATGTTAAAAGAAACAAATTATCAAACATCCGCTTCAAGATTTTAATTGTTTGTAGCGTAACTTCTAACTAAATGTTCTCGGTATGAATGTGACATTGTGCAATGAGTTTTATTACTTGAAAAGAGAAAAACATGGAATTGTTTGCAACGTATCTTCTACATCGTTTTAAGAAATTGTTTAAAAATCTAAACCAAATCGTTGTTTTTCCAATAATTTGTTTACAATTAAGAAGTAGAAGAATTGGTAAATCTATGTGAATTTCGGATTTGTAAATATTTCAATTAGGAAAGGCACAAAAATGGAATTGTTTGCAGAGTATCTTCTATATCGACTTAAGAAATTGTTTAAAAATCTAAATCAAATCGTTGTTATTCCAATAATTTGTTTACACTTAAGATGTAGAAGAATTGCTAAATCTGTGTGCATTTCGGATTTGTAAATATTTCAATTAGGAAAGGTGCAAAAATGGAATTGTTTGCAACGTATCTTCTACATCGACTTAAGAAATTGTTTAAAAATCTAAACCAAATCTTTGTTTCATACTTAAGATGTAGAAGAATTGGTAAATCTGTGTGGATTTCGGATTTGTAACTATTTCAGTTAGGAAAGGTGCAAAAGTGGAATTGTTTGCAACGTATCTTCTACATCGTCTTAAGAAATTGTTTAAAAACCTAAACCAAATCGTTGTTTTTCAATAATTTGTTTACACTTAAGATGTAGAAGAATTGCTAAATCTGTGTGCATTTCGGATTTGTAAATATTTCAGTTAGGAATGGTACAAAAATGCAATTGTTTGAACGTATCTTCTACATCGTCTTAAGAAATTGTTTAAAAACCTAAACCAAATCGTTAATTTTCAATAATTTGTTTCATACTTAAGATGTAGAAGAATTTGTAAATCTATGTGCATTTCGGATTTGTAAATATTTCAGTTAGGAAAGGTACAAAAATGGAATTGTTTGCAACGTATCTTCTACATGGTCTTAAGAAATTGTTTAAAAACCTAAACCAAATCGTTGTTTTTCCAATAATTTGTTTACACTTAAGATGTAGAAGAATTGGTAAATCTGTGTGCATTTCATGATTTGTAAATATTTCAATTAAAAAAATGTACAAAATGTCAACAAAAACTACGTCTTTAATTGTTAATTTTTAACAATGTAAGTGCAGTAAATTTTTATTAAAAACGAAATGTTTTCTGTGCGCATTTAGTAAAAGGTACAAAAGAAATAAAACAACATATAATGGCAACAAACACAACGTGATTTCCCCTCGGGTGCGGAATGAACAAATCACCTTAACCATTGTTCGATTTGTATGGTCGTACGTGCAAACATTTCCTGCACGGTTCTTCGAGGAAAATGTGAAGCTGAGGAGGAGGACTTGCGGTTCAGTGTTTTCCCTCACACTTTAAAAGTATTGTTTGATACAAAAAATCCAGATCCAGGAAACAACTAAATTTATCGCAGATATTTTGCGATTCGAAAAATTACATTGTAACGATTCTCGAGTGTTTTATTATCCGGTTTATCCGATTATCGTAATTTTTTTTTTCGTGAATAATAATAATACATTTACTTTTTTTTTTTGTATAATTTCTCTGTTGCTCAACGAAATTGATAAGAGCGGATTTGATCTGAAAATCCAAAAATAATGAATAAACATAAAAAACATCGTCTTTCTCGTCCTAATTTAGTTTGGAATGAAATAACAAACGTAATGAGTTAAATTGACAAAAACAAAATATTCGAAAAGTGGAGGAAGTGACGAAAAAGCATTGTTCTGGTAATGAAGGCAATTTGGTTGCGTTTCGAACCGAATTGCAAGCGATCATTTGACGTAAATATACGTGTTGACCTACGAAATTAAGAGCAAATTTCGAAGGTAAATATTGGATTTCGCTCTGTTTTAAACATCCCATCGAAAGCGTAGAGAAGGTCAAAAAAGTTACCAAATCGTCTCCGCTTATATCTACTACACTCTACAACTAAAAACCATTAGGTGTCTTTATCAGGTAATTAATAGCGTAGCCCCAAAGCGATAAATCAGCATCTCGCAAGGCGATTTACAAGAAGCGATTTATCTCTGGGTTTTCCGCTTTCAACTGAAGAATTTCCATCTTAGTCATCTGCGTAATACGTTGCGAAATCTCTATGTCGTTTATGTTTTTATTACTGTTTTCTTTTTAGTAATTTAATTTAATAAATGTCTTAGCTGCAGTTTCTCGGCTTCAAGCAAGACGAAAGTGAATTAATAATAAACGTGCGGTGCGGAATGTTCGCTCATCTAACTCAAACATGTCTAAACTCCGGTCTGGCTTTGCGCTCCAAATTCGATGCGTTCACCTTGGGTATTTTTAGAGGTATCCAATAATAACCGCAAGTTGTTGCAACATCAACTAATAAACTAACTAATCTGCTTCAATAAGTCCGCAAATACTGCTCCTGTAATTTGTTTCGCTTCTCCTGAAGAATCTAGTGCAGAAAATTGTGTATTTAGATCATAGATTTTAGAAAATTTAGGATTGTATAAAAATAGTTCAGTTCTAGAAACTTGGAGTTTTTCGTACTTGGAACAGATTTATCTTCGTCAAGATAATATCGTTTCGCACTGCAGACGTTTATTTTTAAGAATGCCCTACTTCTAAGTCGCGTTTAATTATCAACAAGAATAATAATATTAAGAAAAACACGGAATTCAGATGATAATGTTCAATAAAAGTATGGAAATAAGACAACAATTTGTTTGTTGTTAAAAATATCTGTTGTTTTCTAGAATCATTGAGTTTTTGGAGTTTGGACACATTTGTCTTCGACATTCCTGACATAAAATATAGACTTTTAAATTTAGATTCTCAAATTTTGAAAATTTTCAGTCATAACGTACAAATATCCATCAAGTTATGTACAGATGTTTATTCTCTAAATATAAGATTAATAATGGACATTTTAGATAGAATTAGCCTAGAATTTAATAAATTCTGAATATTTTATGTCAATAAATAATGAACTTTGTTGATAGAATCTTATATATTTCATAGACTAAATAAGCAATAACAACGAAAAGGTGATTCAAAGTGAACGTGAAAAGATCGACTAATTACTTCACTTAATAATAACAACAACACTAATAATAATAAGATGTAAACAAATCGAAAGCGGGAAGTGGATTGTTACAATATTACAATTTTTTTTATTTTAATTAAGTGGGAAATAGCGTAAGCAAATGTTTTCATCGCAATTTAAGTCCGTCATTAAAATAAACAAAGCTCATCATTATCCGTTTACCAGAACGGAGCAATGTTTGTTGAACAGTTCAGATAAATAAGGGGAATCATTCGCAAAGATTAATTAGAAATGTAAATATTTATTTAATTATTAATGAATCCATTGTGATTAAATATAGTTTATTATAATTTCTGTTTTGACATATCCATCTGCGTTTTGTTTTGTTTTGTTTTGAATGACTTCTGTCAATATCATGATATTTGACATTTTGACATTTGATAGTTTTAAACAATGTAATTTCGGATTTGACATATCCATCTGTGTTTTGTTTTTTTAATGACTTCTGTCAATGTCATGATATTTGACATTTAATAGATGTCACTTTTAGTTTACATTAGAAGGAAACTACGCGTAATTGTTCAGAACTGTTTGTTTAGATGTGTCTGTCAATATTTATATAATTATTAATGAATCTATTGTGATTAAATATAGTTTATTGTAATTTATATTTTGACATATCCATCTGCGTTTTGTTTTGAATGACTTCTGTAAATGTCATGATATTTGACATTTTGACATTTGATAGATGTTACTTTTAGTTTTCTTTAGAATGAAATTACGCGTAATTGTTCAAAGCTGTTTGTTTAGAGTCAATTTCTATCGTGAAACATTTTTGATATAATTTACAAGAAATTTAGTACTTATTTTCTTCGAATTGTTTATATTCGTCTGTCAACGTTATTGGTCAATGTGTTTAGCATTGTGATTAAATATAGAAAGACAATTGTCGATATTTTAAACAATTGTAATTTCGGTTTTGACATTTCCATCTGAGTTGTGTTTTGTTTTGAATGACTTCTGTCAATGTCATGATATTTGACATTTGACATATCCATCTGCGTTTTGTATTGTTTTAAATGACTTCTGTCAATGTCATTCTTCCAATGTGGTTATGTGTGTCTACAGTATTAGTCATTGAATTTAGCAGCTGCATAATTGAATGTATTAGAATATGATTTCTCCAAATGATAGACAACTGGACAACATAATAATAATATATTACGTACGCAAAGTTTGTTAATCATAATACACACCTTCTTTAATTTACTTTAGCTTTTTTTTTGGGTTGGTGCCAAAATTAGTCACACCATTTGTGAGCTACATGATTTGAAGATAAACGTTCTTCGATTACATTGATTTTAATTGAACATTACTCATTCAATCATTATACTTTATTGAAAAAAATCATAAAATTGAATGAAGAAATTTTAATAAAAAGATACAAATTATACAAATCTTTTGTTAAACTTTAATATAAAGTTACTATAAAAAAATGAATTTATGTTATTTTATTGAAAAACCTCAAAAATTAATGAAAATCATAATACATTTCTTAATTCAATCAAAATTGAAAGAAATCATTTCATTTGTACATTCACTAGTGTAATGACTGATTTCATCGATTTTCTGCATGGAAACACGTGGACATATGAACTGTACACTGTTTCAAGTAAACATAATTACTGCACTTAAACTAATTTCAAATTGATAATCTACATTAGATATACTTCCTAAAATTACGCGCGTAAAGTGCGTTTCATTAATTACACATAATTTATCAGGAATTAAAGATTTAGAATTTAAAAACGAGTTTCCTTTAATGCATTTTTTAAACATGGAATTTCATTGAGTTACAGTTTCGTGCGTATTTTCGATTTTATTAAATTTAGTTTTTTTTAAACAATATTTCCGCGAATTACAACTTTCAAACTTGAACTTCAAACGTATTTTTTATTAATCATTTGCAAGATTCTTGGTATTCACCAATAACTACTACGGGTTTTACCATAACATTCCAATAATCTTGTACTTTTTAGTGTTTTTTTTTTTTTAATTTATTATAATGTAAAACTATTTTCTAAGAATCGTTTTTAATAAACAAAAGTTGCAAATAATTAATATCAAACATCGTGATTATAGAATTAGCATTAATTAACAGTTTAGTGCAGGTAATATGAAAACTATTAACTAATTTTGTGTTTAAAAAATTGCGTTCTTGTGAACTCACAGAAATGATAGTGTTTGTGATTCACGTTTGAACAAACATATCTTATTATAGTAAAGAATGTAATTGAATAAATCGATTATTGAATGTGTGAAGATTATTCTATGGACCGTATTTATTTTTTTTTGTTTGGTTCTCACTACTATTTGTAGAGTAGATGGGGGACAATGGGTTTTCGGTTCGATTAGATTAGATTGGCTCTTTGGTGCATCATCGAGAACCTTGACATTGTTGTTCCAATTCACGAAAGCGATTCGTATTATTTCTAAACTGACTTTCTCCTCTGCATTTCCCTTCAGACACAAATCACGTTCATGTAAGATTCTAAGCAAATGCTTTATTGATTTGAAGAATAATAAAAAAAAAGGAATGTTATGTAAAGATGCGAAGAATGCAACAGTCGCGTCCTTGGCGAAGATTTACCATCAAGAAGAGATGCGTTTAGAAGAATTTCGGGTTTTCGGACCGGTCATTGCAGATGCACGTCTCCGAATCATCATGATGATTGCGTCTCTATATACTTGTAAACTTATGTACAAGTGTACGTTTGTTTGAGTGTTTGAGTGTGTATATATATAAGATCTGAACGCGCGATCCTTTTTACAAGGAAGGCGATCTCCGAGCGAGGTTCTATAACGAGCGGTTCCGATATCTTACTTACACACACACTCTACCTACCTACCTACCTTGCTTCACCAAAAAACGCACACACACCTGAGCTTTTCATTCAGTCGGTGCTCTGCTATCAAACTAATAGCAACAACATTTGCACCAATCCATTCACAACGGAGCTACACAGAGGGAGAGAGAACACAAACACACACACATAAATTAACCGAAGAGGATCTCCAATAAGGTCAGTGAAAAGAACACGACTTTTAAATCATTCATAATTGCATTAATCGATTCTATCAGTTTTAATTTCGCATCCTTGTATCAATACTTTTATTTCCATTCTAGTCCTTAGAAGTAAAAAAGAAACGTGCGAATCTAAACTTAGTTACTACGCTATTAATATTCTCTGCAGGAGCGTGATCATTCACACTATAAACAATGGAATTCGACAAAAAAAAAAACTGTAAATCAAAACGCTTTGCACATTAATTATTACTTGTTAAAACAAATCCTTTCATTAATTTTATTACGTAACAAAGCAAAAAATATTACCTTGATGATCAACAACAACTTAAAAGATATATTGACTTTAGGTGATTGATTATTACAATTGAAATGATTTGGAATTGGAAATTTACTGTTAGTTTCAATGAAATATCTATTTTCTAAGTAATTTGCAACGATTTAATGGAATCAGTGACTAATTAACAACTTTTAAATCTAATCTAACAAAAAAAATAATACTTTGATTATTTGATTGATGATTAAATATAAAAATGTAATTCTAATTGGAAATTCAATACAATTAAAGTAATTTTTGATTTACGTTTGAATCTGTTTGTTTTCAAGGTTTATTTCAAACTTATTTCTCTTTCAATAAACAATTTAATAACTATTTGTATGAAGATTAAAGAAATTTGATAATCAATGTCTTATTAGAATTAAGTAAGATTTTTAACAAATTTGCAAATATTGTGATTTGAGTAGATTCATTTAAGTTTGTTAATGAAAAGAAAAGAAGTAAAATTTTATTGAATCTTGGTGATTTTTGAGTGTTTTGGGAAATTTATGAATGGATTTTTAAATGCGTTGAAAGTAATGAGAATTTAATGAGATAATTGTGACTGTGTCATAACTTTGAGTTTAAAATCGATAAAATCTATGAGATTTTTGAGTATATCTTCAGTACGTCTTAATCAAAATGCTAATTAAAGCTAAAACTATAATTAATTACATGTGCAAATGAAGTGTGCATGAATTAGTGCGATTTTTGAAGTAATTTTTCTTGAAAATCCAAAGTGAGTATGGAAATGTGCATCAGAAGAGTTACGTAAAGTATAGAACTGAACGGGATTTCATACAAACTGGAGCAAACTGTAATTTATTTACAAAGAAATGAACAAAAAAAAATGTATCAATTATGTAAGTTATTTTTGTTTGTCATTTAATTATAAACTAATTGTTTAATTTGAAAGATTTCTTAAAGAAATTCTATTTGAATTAATTATTTTTGTTATTTGCGAAGAGTGCCATGACAATAATTCAATTGTTTCAAAGCGAAACAAACGAAATGCGACATATTTGAAATGCATCGAGGAACGATAAAACAATTACATTAATTTCCGGCCGCAGCGGGGACTTTTTTTTTTCATTTTTTCGTTCCTCTTCGTCCGCACAGAGACTGAATACAAAAAAACTGCTTCTGCTTTATACAATAGATGCGGATTTGCATACGGCGATGGCAAGAATTACAATTGTGAAATAACACAAATTTCTGAACGATGATGAACGACAAGATTCACATTCAATTTGTTTGTTTTTTTTTTGTTCATGAGTTTCTGAGATCAATTATTTATTATTAACGGAGAGATTGAAGGAAGGAAATGTGTGTTTTCTTGTTGTTTCTATGGTAATTTCACTTTTTCGAAATTCAAGTGAAATCATTTGTTTGTCCGAGGAGGAAGGTGAGGTGCGTCAACGCACGCTTCGATCGCAATTTGAATGCCATCGCGTGCTCAAATTAACTAGTAATTAGTCGCAGATCGTGAATCCGATTAAGTCGATATATTTATTAGCGATTGGGATTAGCGAATACCAAACGTATGCAAATGCTGCTGCATTCAATGCACTGCAAATCAATCATCTGACTCAATAAATATTTATAATCCGACTTTATTTATATTGGAAATAACGTTCAAAGTTGACGCAGGTTAGTTTAGGTTTTGTTTGCATATTGAATCAATTAGATCGAACGAATTTAAAAAAAAAAAGATCAAGTAACTGTGGGCGTTTATTGGATTGTGATAATGTAATAATGTGTGATAAGGAACGTTTCAAAACCTTGGGACAAAATGGGAACATCTTAAGTGCACCCTTAAGTCTAATTCACAAACAAATACTAATTTCCAAATGTTTTTGTTTACTACTAATGAAGCTTCAAAGTTCACGTGATCATAATATTAATGCAATTGTCGCACCTTTTAAGGTGAAATAGTGTCTGGGTTTTTGATTTTCTATAAAAAATTGTACTCGAAATTGGAATTAGATTTACTTAATTTCGTATTTCTAGTGAACTATGAATGTTTGTCTCATTTCAACAAGTGATAATTAGATCTAAAACTAAATTCAAAATTTGATGATTGATATTTATATGGCTTTGATATTGTTGTCTAAATATCTAAAACTAACAAAAATTTAATGAAATAATTAGTATAAGTGTGAGATTTTTTTGTTTTTGTTTTAAAAATGTGTATTAAGAAAAATATTTTAAGGACTAATTTAGGTTAGAAGGACGCGAAATGCAGCTGAATGAAAAAACAACAATTTAAATTTTTTCGATCAAGGATTATCCGATTTATTTGGGTCGCGTAACAGCATGTATACAAACATACGAAGAAATAAAACAATAATAATAACAAAAAAAACACACGCAATATTATTGTTGTCTGGCAACGAGAAATAAAATAACGAAGCGATCTACAAAGTGCATCGATACACTCTCGAGACCTTCGATTGTTTAAATAGAGAAATTTCCATTGGAAACGATCAAACAATAAACAATTGATCCGTCATTGTCCTTTGCGCAGATAATCCCGCTGCACGACTCCTTTCGCTGCATGTGATCCAAGTCACTTACGCAACGAGAAAAAACAAACGAGCGCTTGAAAAACAAAACATTAACGTAAATGCGCATATTTACTTAAGCTATGTAATAATAAATAGTACGTACGAGTTGAATTCATTTCTTGCTTCTTCATAACTCGATTCGATGCGTCTCAAAACGAGTTTTCATATATTTATTTTTTTTTATGAAATTAACGTTTAATGCGTCTGGATATTCTCGAATGATCGCTTGTTCTAAATGAGGTAAAAGGAAGAACGCGACGGGCTTCCGTTTTACCAACATTCTTCACGGTCGAATCGTGAAATTCAGTCGATTAATTAATCCGTCTAACAACGTTCGATTTATTGATTGATATGCGCCGTTAATTAATTTGTTTGCGAACTCATTGAACGTTGCCCACCGAAATCGCTTTTGTTTTATTTTTGTTTTATTTTTGTTTTGTAATAATAATAATGCTGATGGTTACTCGACGCACCGAATATCGAATAATTTGGTGTTGCCATAGTGATAACATAAATAAACAAATGAATAAATGCATGGCGAAAGGTGCGCTCGGAGAATCGGTTGTTTCGAGCAGCAAGAGCACAAAAGTAAACAGAAACGTGCATTTGCATTCCCTTCGCGATGTTCGGCTTCCAATTAGCATACGCGCAAAATGCGTTTATTTACAATTTGCCATCGGCCTTCGCTTCGTTTTTTTGTTTTTGTTTACCCAATACCTGATTTCAATAAAAACAATTGCTAAATAGATGGTCTCTAACCATCAGCGTTGCCAACAGTTCAATGAGAATGTAGTACTAACTTCATCACAAAATGGTCTATCCTTTGTTATGTCTTTATATCATCAGGAACACCCTGAATTTTAAAACGAATGCTTGTTTCAATATTTTCCTATAACTCTTTATTCGTTTATGATTCATTTGTACTAAATTTGGACACTTTTCTCAACAAAACAATAATTGTTATTGTATTCCATATTAACTCAAGCGTATTTATAGATTCAAAAGTAACGAGATTACATTAAGAATTTCGGTCAACAGTCTTCAAATTAAATAAGATTCAAGAGGAAATAAATTATTGATTCGTAAACTAATTATAATACTTTTTTGGACTCATTTCTTACAGTATAATATCGAATATAGACATTTTCCAAATGAAAAACTATTGTTATGACTTTACAGATTTAGTCAATATATAAATTTCAATTATTTTATACTGAAACTGTGCAGAATTTAATAAGTTAACTAATTCTTGTTGAATTTAATTTTGCAGATGTCAAACTTTTTCACTGATATGTTCATTGCACGTCATGGCGACGAACACGATCATGATCACGATCATGACCACGAGGAAGAAGGTTCTCCGGTGATCGCGAAGGTCGTCGCAATGTGCGTACTCTTCCTGGCATCCTTCATTATCGGATGCCTTCCAATCAAACTGGCAAAGATCTTCCACTGGGACAAGAACGCGAAGAACAATCGCGTCGTCCAGTTTCTGCTGTGCTTGGGAGGCGGCGTCCTCCTCTGCACCACCTTCCTGCATCTGCTGCCAGAAGTCGCGGAGCAAATCCAAGAGATGCAATCGGACGGAACGTTGCCAGAGTTGAAGATACATTTCGCGGAGTTCCTCATGTGCGTCGGATTCTTCACCATGTACCTGGTGGAGGAGATCGTGCACTATTACCTGCACAGAAAACAGAAGAACAGCGATATGTGCGCGCTGCGGAGGAGTCTCTCGGTGAGACGCGGCGACGTCAGCAGCGTTTCCACTTCGGAGCTGGTGAAGAGCATGGAGGAAGCTAAACCGAATCCGTTGGAGTTCCATAACAGCCACAGACATTCGGAGCGTTCGGGTCACAGCCACGTCGAGCATAGCCATTCCGAGCATGCAGGTCACAGCCACGTCGGTCACAGCCACGTCATCATCGATGCTGAAGATAGCATAGTTCAGAGCATCCGAGGGTTGCTCGTCGTGTTAGCCTTGTCTGTTCACGAACTCTTCGAGGGCCTCGCCGTTGGATTGGAGTCCGCGCCATCGAACGTGTGGTAAGTCTTAAGCAAAGATTGATCGAATGAAATTGATTAATACAAATCGTTAGGTACATGTTCGGTGCCGTGAGCGCTCACAAACTGGTGATAGCCTTCTGCATTGGAGTCGAGCTGGTGTCCACCAAAACGCGCACCATTCTAACTGTGATATACGTGTTCACCTTCGCCGTCGTCAGCCCGTTGGGAATCGGCATCGGCATCCTGGTCAGCGGCGATGGTGAATCAGAGACGGCCGTAGCATCTGTGATATTGCAAGGACTCGCGTCCGGCACCCTTCTATACGTCGTCTTCTTCGAAATCCTCCAAGCCGAAAGGAAAGGAGGCATCCTCCAATGGCTCGCCGTCTTCGTCGGGTTCCTCTTGATGTTCATCATCACTCTGTTCGGTAAGTCTACAAACGAATCCGTCACGGAATTTTTTCAAACTAATTATTTGACTTAAGTATCTGTCAAAGTGACAACAAATTAATACTTACAAAATGAACACCCTTAAGATTTGTATCACTAATTCTAACAATTAGTAACTGAAAAGTTAAGTATTTTGAATCCTTGATTAATTATACTCACAAATTAAATCTTAATAATAACATATTTTCTCTGACATGATAAAGGAATAACATAATTGTGACAATTAGATATGTCAAAATTGAAACAATTATTTAAAAAAAGCCGCCTTTGATTTTCTTTAATTAACAAAAAAAAAACAGCGTTTTTTTCAATGTATAACTGTAATAATTGAAGCATAACAAAAATATGTATCTGTTTTGCAAAAAAAAATAACAAATACAGATTAAATGTTACAACATTGGATGCGATAAGGAAAACGTGTTACACAAAAAAAAACCGAACTGTATAAATAAATCTTAAGATTCATTCCACGAAATGCGTTCACGCAACGATGCGTAAACAAGTAGCAGTATAGTCTTCATCAGGTATTCGTCCCAAGTTGATCGGCGTAACCCGAACGCGGAAGTTACCCAAAAAATTCATCAAATTATTTTGTTGTTGTTGTCTCGTTGTTTTCCCATTTAAAACTGTGTGCAAAATCCGCGAAATCCATGAATATTTATTCACAGAACCGGATATTATTTCATCCATCTGTGCGGGGGAGGGAACACCTTTTGTTGTTGCTGCTTCCAGTGAGGAAAGCGAAAAAAAAAATATACAAATAAATAAATAGAAAACGTTTGTAATTAATGCGAAATGTAACTTTCGTTTTTGCTAGATTTTTTTGCGAGATCTTCCGCGTTTTTTTTCTTTCTTTTGCTAATTGCAACAAACTATTCTTGTTTGGTTTTATTTAGTTATGTGTTATTACTTTTGGTCACGAATTGATTAACGGTGCGCTCGTAAATGCATTTCCATACAACTTATCGAAGCGTTACTGCTTTCGGGGTAATTGTTCTTTCGGTGTTTTCGACCGCTTTTACGGCCTCGGCAATCCGGGCACGTAGCCAGAGGTTCGTGCTTCGGAGTCGTCGATCGCGATAAATTTTAAACTTTCTATACAGTACTTTTTGATCGATCGATGGATCGATCGGACGAGGAAGAACCGAAAAAAATAAGAGCAAACTCGCAAGCAAACTGGTTTTATCCAATCCATCCAAAAAAAGACCATTTTTGATGGGATCGGAATGCGGTAAAAGGAAAACAACAGAAACCACTAAAAAGGATTCTGCAAATTCGTTGCGCAATTTACCTTTTAGCAGCTCTAATGACTAATTCTTCGTGGACCACCGTTTCTGGAATTAGTCATCTTTGACGTCGAGTGAATTACGATGATAATATAGCAGGAATAGTGAAGGAAATTGGACGAAATTGTCCTGGGCAGATTTACGAAATTGGATAATGATGCGCGAAGGCGCGCCCACGTCCATATCCATCAATCCTCCAACACGATGCTAATGGTCCTCTCATTCTTCTCTTTATTAGTATTATTTTTCGCGCTCGATTGGATAATGGGCATGCGAACTGCAGTCCGGTCACGATCGTCAACAATCAGCAGTCGTCGTCGTTGCATAATTGCGACCGCTCCGAACGCCATCAATTATTAATTTCGCAGACTCCGCAATTGATTTCCGTGCGAAAAGATTCCGTCGCGTCGTCTGCACGCGCGCCTCGCATTCAAATTCGATGCGTGCTGGTTTAGTTGCATAACTTCAATGCCGCTCATCATCAAACGTTCCGTCTTGAGGAATAACACAATTAGTTATTCTGAACCTTTCTGTAGACATTAAACGTTAAACGGTCATTCGTATGGGTAAATTACAGAAACACGAAAAAATGCGGAATAACGAACGCGACGACGTATGGAAATGTAATCTAAACTTTTGACGCAACAACATCAACATGTTTATATAAACTTAACAATGTCTTGTCTAACATCTGTTTTGATGTGCCAGCTTTAGTTAATCGGCCTTTATCTAGCGAAAATGTATCTAGTTCCAAGGTCATCTTATTCAATTGCTTTAATTCACTGTTGTTAACATATAACGTGATTCAATCTTGTAATATTCACGAGCTGTTATTAATTAATAAGTTCAAATTCTTATTGGAATCAATCATTCCAATAACTTATTTACTCATTTATGCAGAGATGTTTCAATTGGAATTGCAGATCACCTATAATTAGGTTAATTGCTTTGCATATCCTTGAGTAAGGTGTATACAAATATTAAGCTTACACAACATATTAAAGTTTTTGAAGAAATATGTTTGTAAATTAATAAATATTTAACAGTTTACGAAAATTAATCTGTATTTACATTTAGTTTACGTTTCTTTTATGTTTCATATTTGAACTTTAAAAATCTCAAAGTTTATAATAATTTGGTGCAATCAATTTTTACATTCTAGCCAAGCAATTAGTAAAGAAACCTCGGTTATCAATATGTAGTATCATTTACAAGTAGGCTAATGTCAAATAGTTTTGTTTAATTTACAACCGTTATTAACCAAAATAACTAATTAACCGGTTTTTGTTGTATTTAAGTTGGTAAATTGTTATTAGTGTAGTGTAACCATTTTGTGTTGGTATATGTGCCAAAATTATATGACACCTATTTGACACCTGTCAAAATAAAGAAACAAAATACTTTTCTGTACAATTTTGTTTACTTATATTTTCACACACTATTTTCATCTGTGATTGAAGCGATAAAAGAATGGAATTTATTCAAATGATTGTCGAAGGAAAAGAAACGTCGACTCAGACTCGTTATTTCATCTGGGCACCGCCCAAACAATTACGAATTCTTGAGAGAAATTTGACCTTTTCACCAAAAGGACGCATCGGTCTTTACGTAACCGCTTCACGTAACAACCGTATTTGAAGTTTCATTAAACACATTTAAAATTCAGCTTCTTTTTTTCCTCATCTTCTATTAATCAGAGCTTTCGATTCGTTCTCTTCGGATTATGAAAGGGTGACCAAGATTGTTACAATTGCGGACAACGGAGGTGCGGTGGCCAAGGTCCGGTCTCGCTTGAGGACTTTCACTGTTCCATTCTGCTAGTAAATTGCTAGTTTATCGTCGAGCAAACTGTATCACCTTAAATACAATTCATAAAAATCCGTGTCAAGTTCGAAAGGAAACACGAAATTATCGCGATCAATACGATTCGATAATTGTTGTTGTTGTCTTGGAAACGAGCTAAACAGAATTTTATAAACTGCTTCATTTATTTCGATAGGCTTTTATCGCTCACTTGATTGATCGTTGTTTTTGCACGAAAAAACAAAAACTATGCTCGAATCCTCTGCAAAAATATAATATGAAATGCAGGAGTTATCGCATAGTTCGCGTCACAACCGTTGCCATGAATACGACTTAATTACCGACTCACGTGCAGTTATTTATTTACAGTAAGCCGTGACCAATTTTTTTTGTTTCTTACGTTCGACACCTGTTATCTCGCTGATGGGTCTTTTGTCTGGCCGAATAATTTTTGCGTAAATTAACTAAAATTTCAAAATTGAATCACGTTTAAAGAGCATGAAAAAAACAGAATTATGCAAATAACAAATTATCATTTACTTTTTTTGTTTTAGTTAATGACTAAAGCTTCCTGGTTAATTCAATGAATACTTGATCGAAGCAATTACGATGGACAAAAAACAAAACAACGTTGTTTTCGTGGCAAATTCTTGATTTGTTATTTAACGATTACTCAGAATTGGATTAAATTTTAATTTGTATTCATTTTATTCTATGGAATATGCATTTAACAACAACAATAATGTGAGTAAACGTTAGTAAATACTTAAGTCACTTAACAAGATGATAACACCGACTTAATCGACTATCAGAGAATGCACTTGGAAACAATAGATATAGTTTAAGTAACAATACTTTGATGTCACGTAAACTCTCAAATATCGAAATTAAACTGTTAATAGTTCAATAAATGTTGAGTCAATATTCCAATGAAACGATTTTGTGCCATGAAAATTATTTTTTATTTGTGATATGAAGATTTAATCACGTTCCAATGAGCATTAATTATAGTTAAGAAATATGTGTTTAAATTGAAATGAAGGTTTTAGATAAGTTTGTCAATGGTAGAAGAAGAAAAAACAATTGGGTTTAAGTGAGATATTCAAAACATGGTTAGCAATGAATGAGAGGAAGATAGAAGATAGAGGAGACAAAGACTTCTTGGATCATGGAAATAACCGGTGTTTTTTTACGCAACAAACCAGGGATTACCGGATTGTCTCTCAGAAACGGTTGTTGTGCAGCAGTTGCACACGAACAGACTTTGTTGGATTCGGTGGTTGAATAAGTGAAGGGAATGAATAGATGAGCGAAGTGATTTGTCTAAGCACGTGGTTCGATGATAACCTGTCGAGAATTTTGTTGAACTCTGCTGCTCGATCAAAAATCCATTGCCGTTCTCGTCCTCGATGTTTTATTTTCGATCCGGCCACTATCTGCGCTTCACGAGAACACTCGTTATTATAATAATAATGATGAAGATGATGATGAATAAATAATAATATGTATAATACGTACGTATAATGTAATAAACGTCGAGCGAGAGATGAAAGTCGAAGAAGGACAACGGGAGCCGACGAGAGTGGTAGTAAATGGCCGTTTCCTTCTCTCGGCCGAACATCGGCCCCGATGGCCCCCATCATCATCATCATGATCACTTAGTTACTACTTACACTTAGTCGGTTTAGTACGTCGCGAGAGCGGTACGCGCACCATGTTGTCGGCGTCGGGACGCCAACACTGAGTCCTTCGTGTGAAAACGGAACGATACAATTCATTCATTCCCTCGAAGAACACGTAACAAGTGCACAGCGAATTCAAGTTCTTCAGCGCGCATACAGTGGGTGCCCTTCTCGTATTTACTTTACGCAAATTCCCATCGACCAACTTCCATCCAAAATACAAAGAAAAACAAGGATTACAATCAACAATTCCAAGACGTTTCTCTTTGTTCGCTTTGCGCAATCGCTCACGGATAATTGCCGCAAATTTGTAAACTCAATAACCGAACATGTGGAAATATTTGCAACGCCAATTTTCGCATCAAAAGACGATTTCGATTTCTACTACATCAATTGCAGTTTCTAAATTGGTTTCTCCAAACATACACTTCTTTACCCGAATTTAATTCAATTTAGTAATTATACAAATATCAACATTTTTAGTATTATTCATTTGATTTAGTAAACAAATTCAGTTCGTCATTGAAGTTAATCGTAATTATGTAACAGCGAGAAACGAAAGGAACGAACTTGACAGAATCCAAGCGGTGGAAGAGAACACGTTTCGAAATTTAAAAATAAATTGAGTTTCGATTTCGTGAAGATCTCGGCGATCGCACGATTTCGTTGTTTTTTGAGTCAAGGGAAAATAATAAGAAAGTGAGTCGATGACTTCGGAATCTCCTTATTCCTATTAATGGTTTTCTTCATTTCCATCAGTATTGAATAATTTTATAGAAACTTTTATGTTATAGTCATTTTATAACTAATTGTGTGTGTTCTGATGTTAATGTAAATTATGGAATTGTGTTTCATTATAAAAAAAAAAGGAGAAAGTGTAATGCGATGTGCAATGTTATTTCATTTTATAGTTTTAAATAGTTAAAGTTGATATATTGTTTGCTGTAGAAGACAAAAGTTGTTTTTTTCATATTTATATAAATGATTAATTAGTATTAAAACATGATTCTTTGGTGGGATAACTTTCTAAAAATAAATGAATATGATTAATAATGCTATTAATACGCTTGGAGCAATGTAATTTCCATATGGAATTTGCAATATTCAATGTATTTGTTTGGCAATTAAAAGGAAACAACAACAATAACAACAAAACTGCAATTGATGTGTTGCAAATGTAAGAACGGTAATAATGTAACACATAACGAATATAATTTTGATGTATGTATAATGGCCGGTTACATTTCCGGAACAGAGCAATTTCCGGCCTGTTGTGCGATCCGCGAAGGTGAAGTTGGTCGATGGGAAACGAAGCGCTGCATTTCCATTCTGCTCTGCTCGAAAGCAAATTGTAATTTATCTCTTATTTCTCTCTCCTCGAATTTCTCTTCGATTTTCACTTAGATTCTGAAGATGGGTCTAGAGATGGAAACGTCTGATCTACTGATGGCCAAATTGGTCGCTATGACCACCCTCGGTTTGGCATCGTTCTTAATCGGAATCTCGCCAATGCGACTGACGAAACTGCTGAACATAAAAGCAACAGATGGGAACAATCTGGCGATTTCGTTGCTGCTCTGCTTCGGCGGAGGTGTTTTGCTCTTCACGACCTTCGTGCATCTGCAGCCGGAGGTGCGCGAGAGCTTCGCGAAATTGGAGGCGGAGGAGAGGATCCCGGTGATAGGACACGGGATTTCCGTGTCGGAAGTGATCTTCTGTCTGGGATTCTTCTTCGTGTATCTGGTGGAGGAGCTGGTGCACGCCTTTCTGGATAGAAGACTGGAACATTTGACGAGAAGCATGAGCGTGCGGAAGACGGAGAACATGTGCATACCGAGGGTGACGCTCAACAAGCTCGAGGATAATGGGATTGCTATTATAAGCAATTCGAATCGAGAGCTGTTCAACTCGCAATCGACTGTCGGACATCACAATCACATGCACATCGATGAGAACATGAAGAACTCTTTCAGAGGATTGCTGGCAGTGCTCGCGTTGAGCTTCCACGCTGTCTTCGAGGGTTTAGCCGTCGGTTTGGAGGCAAGCGTGCAGAAGGTCTGGTACTTGTTCGCGGCTATAGCCACGCACAAGCTGGTGATAGCGTTCTGCGTCGGAGTGGAGTTGGTCACGTCGAAGACGAAGCTCGTGCTCATCCTCATCTACATCGGGACCTTCGCCATTGTCACGCCGCTCGGCATCGGAGTCGGCATTGCTCTGAGCGGCGGCGGAAGCTCCGAAATCGACGTCACTTCCGTCGTGCTGCAGGGCATGGCCGCAGGAACCCTCCTCTACGTCGTCTTCTTCGAGGTTCTTGCGCGCGAACGCAGCAACGGCCACGGAGGAATCTGGAAGCTGATCGCGATCATCGCTGGATTCGGCGTCATGTTCACCCTGCAAATACTCAGTAAGAAAACGATCAAAGTCGGTATAAATTACCTTTAAATGAAACAACGCACAGTCGAAGATTTACAATCGCTTATCGCGTTTACACAACAGCAACATTTCTTTCCACACATCCTTGTGAAACGTCCAAACTTTGACCGAGTCGTTAAAACATAAAATGCATTGTTCATGAAATGACGCGACGAATCTTTATTTGTTGAACTGCAGATAACGATAGTTATCCTCGTGCAGAGGAGAGAGGTCATCGATTCCCTACGTTCCTACGTTCGCAATCTCTTGACCATCCAAAATGTGTAACAACATTTTAAGAAAATAAGATCCGTTACGCAACTACAAACCACCCAAAAGAAAAACAAGTTTGTTTTTTTGTTTATTTTCATGACATACTCAGAAAATGAAAAGAAACCAATATCAATAAGAAATACATATTTCGTTGCTTCTTACGAAATGTTGCACTCATGAATAGGTGTGATTTGGTAGCAATTAGCGTAACTGTACTCGCACGGCATGTGACGTAAGTGGTCGAAAAAGTCCACGGAGATTTCATTTTAACGGAATGCACACCGGTTTGACCCAGATGACCAAAGCGCTCACCGCGCGAAAAAGAATCGTTTCCACGTGGTTTTTCCCTCTATTTACACTTTCGTGTTTACAAATACGTGGCGCGACAACGGCAAAATATCCTAAAGTGGAGAACTGAAGTGGCTGCAGTTAAGCCTTTTTTTATCATCGCATTGCTCAATGCAGCACGGATCAATCGGTGACCTAGAATTGATCCTCTTTAGCGCAATGTAAACGTAAAGGGACACAATGGAAAGTCGTATTATTTCTCTAATCTCACTCGATTAAAAAAAAAATCTAGGACATTTTCCGAGCGCTTTCAATTTCCATTTGCATCGAGCTCCAAATTTGTGTTTTATTTGTTTAAAAGAAAGACACATTTGGAACGAAACACAAATTTAGAACAAAAAACTAATTTGGAATGAAATACAAATTTGTAATTGAATATCGTGAGAATAGGAAGCGATTAGTTTCATTTTACCTTTACTTGAAAAACGCGTCCTTCGCAACGTTGTTCTTTTTTTGTACATGTATAATTGCGGTTACGGAATTGTTTTCAGAAATTACGCGAAACCGAAAGTACCCAGACAAGACCACCTTCGTAATTCACGTTTACTCGCTTACAACTCACCTTTGGTATATAAGAAATTGCTTCAATTACACAAGTTCTTCATTATCGAACGTTACAATTATAAACGATTGCATTGTGCTGTTTTTTGTTAATCCAACGCCGCCTGTATTCACTTCCTTTCTCGTTCGCCGCAGAAAATATGTTTAAAAAGTAAAAGTAATGTCAGATTTGTTATTACCATGACAACTATAAAAATAACAGTAACAGTACTTATTATTACCATGACAACATTATTGAAATAATCAAGTTATGTAATCATTATTTTAGATATTGTATCTTAACTAATTGTAATTGTAATTGTTTTAGCTGGACATGAGCACAGCCACGGTGGACACGAACACGAGCACGACCTTCACGAGACGTCGACCCACGTCCCCACGAATCTTTTCTGAGAGCAAACTTGAAATGCAAACTCCTACTAGACTACTAATTAAGGCATATTTTGATGAAATGGTATTTCGCTGGAGGAGCGCGACATCCCCGAATCCTGCCAATTCAAATTCGTTATTATTATTATTATGGTATTCCTTATGTTATGCAGTAATTCTTTTGTTTTATTATTATTATTATTACTCTCGGGGATCTCGGGAAACGTAAGAAACAAAACAAAAACAAAAAGAAGTTAAACGTCAATTATACAAACTGTACTGTGATAGAATCACAATAATCATGTTATATTGTAATGTTCGATTTTGTTTTTTTTTTATTATTATTTTTTTTCTTTTGTTTTAAGTACGTAGGTAATACGTATTCAGAGCATGATAATTATGTAAATATTAGTTGCCTAGAGACGAATCAATAAGGAGGAGTCATGCAACGAAAATTCAATTGTAAATATTTATTCAGTGCGCTATTCCTTAAGTTAACTATCCTGACTTGATTATATTTAAATAATATTTTTACATGTATACACATATTATATTATAAGCAATAAAACTTATAAAGCATATTTCCCCTTACTGGAAATTTATTGTTATTTATTACATGTGACATCGTTGATGTGAAGGAGATAGTTTGTGAAATTTAGTCAATATACATCGAATCGAATGTCGAGTTTCGCGGCACGTTCCTGCTTCTCGATCGTATGTCCACATGGTACAGATACGCCAACAGATGGAGCATGAAGAATCTTCCGGATATGAATCCGAGGAAAGTGACCAGGAAAGGTTTCCGGAAGAAACGCTCCCTGATGTGATCGAAGACGGCGACGCTCGAGAAATTGAACATCAGAGATCCCAGTAAGCTGAAAGATTAGGTTCAACTTTCGGACTTTACCAAAAAACAAACAAACCTGAAGATGATCCGGTTTATGTTGCCGATCGGTCGCATGTTCGGCCTCGCGTACAGCATCAGCCCTATACCGTAAACCATGTTCGTGTACAGGACGGTCGATGGATCGTAGGAGAAGAATCTGTGCAGGATGCAAGGGTTCGCCACGTGTATGGACATGAGTAGATAAGCGACGCGTCCCTGCATTCCTGCGACGGTCGCGAAATCCTCGCAGAACTGCTCGAAAAGTTCCTCGTCGGTTGCTGCCCCATAGTTAGTCATCACTCGGTCTGCCAATGCATCTCAAGAAAATGTTGCAGATTCCCAAGTACTTATAATTTGATTTCCCACCGGCAGACTTTCGTTCAGGCGCATCCAAGCTGACACATGACACGAAATGATCGAAAGTTTGAAAATTTGTCATTACAGATCGATCAATTCAAAATATACATCGTCGTTATATATATACATCTCCGTAATATCAGGAGTTCCTTGAACCAAGAGCAGTTACGCAATTATTTTTGTATTTGATTATCACATATAAGTCCAAATATACATAAACATGACTAGTAGATAATAATTAACTCTCTATTTATAAAATAAAAGATACAGCACTTTCTTAATAACAAACTACGAATAAATAACAAATTTCTCGCTTTAATAACTTTGTTTCTTTAACAATATGCATCCATATAAATACTTAATAAAAGCCTTAATTGGTAACATAATCAACCTTTCATATATTTATATCATAAGTTTAATGAATGCGTTAAAGTTTATAGCTTAATTTGAAGCAAATTAATGTAATTATTAATAATTTTATTTCAAATATTCAAAAATTGGATAGTTCTATTATTTACCGATAGATGCTAATAATAAATAATTAATAGTAAGATTAATAAAGAATAAATTATAAAGAAAAAACTATTTCTAGCAAGTAAATTGATAATAGAATAATTTAATTAAAACACATTTTTTAATTATAGTTTTAATTATAATTGATATATTGAAACAGCGCCAAAACAGCTGAACTAAAAACTTTGAAGTGTTCCTGAGAGATGGCATGTAAGTGCATTTTTTTTAAAGTCTGCATGTGTCAAAAATTCTAACCTAACAATATTGCAGTCAATTTAAAAAATGCCATACAAATATATTGGAAGGAAAACGGACTTCAGAGGAAAAACCCTCTGGGAGATCCTGGGAAATCTGAAGAATTTCGGCGTGGGTCGCATAGTGACGAGGAGCATCCAAGAACGATACCCAGAACCATCTTTCATGAAAATCGTCAAAGTGGAAGCTCTTCCGAACCCTGCAGAAGCTGGTCCCGACGTAAGCCTCCTATTCTTTGCAATAACAACGGCACTAAATGTACTTGCTTGCAGAACCTGAGGAAGGTCAGAGTTTTTGTGGAGAAGACCTTCCGTGGTGTGAAGCAACCCAAATTGATTGCCCTAGAATCTACCAGTTACAAGGCCGATTACCAGCTCGTCCCTAAACGTGAGGAGGAAGCTTACCTGAAGCTGCAATCTGTCAGTGCTGCGGTGAGGGTGTTACCCAAGTACATGGCTTTGCCACCTTTGATGAGAGAGGTGGAAATGCAGGAGATGAATGCCAAAGGGAAGGAATTCGTTGAACCGAAAATCGAAGTTGTGTATAAGAAAAACAACAGCAATTACAAGATTTCTGAGGAGATGATCCTCGCCTACGGTTTGGGGAAACCAGTGACACCGAGTTTATACAAAGATGTAGAATTGTAAATTATATATAATAGTTATAGTTATTAGTCATGATTAAATTTTATAAATTGAAATGGTTTTGTTTACAATACTGAAGTGCATTCAAACATCTTCAATGTTCCCAAGACAATTAAATTGTTTGAATGTAAATTGCTGCGAAATTCATTATCAACGCGAACTAAATGTTACACCAACCGTGACTCGATGTACTTTTCTTTGCGAATAGCTTTTCATTTCGATTTCCTTCTCGTTTGCTTTCACTTGCATTTTACAATCATGACAACAATGTCTTGAGTAATGGTTGATTACGGTTAATTGTACACAATAATTAACGACTTTCAAAGTCCATTTGATCTCACAAAAATTTACAGTTTACGTTTCAACATATATTTTCATAAATATAATAGACACAATAGTGATTGAATATGGAGATGAAAGCTAAAACTGTAGGTGTTAAAATGTATCCTATTAAATAATTGCACTCTTACTAGTATTCTTGAAATCAGCTGTCAAAGTTAAAGACATGAATAACAAGTAGTGTCATTATATTTCAGCGTATATCTTGATTACTACAAAAGGCATAGTAATAAATGAATTTGGAACTGAAAGTTAAAACTATAGAGAATAATATGCAAGCTCACAAATATTCGTGCTACTACTAGTTTCCTTACAATCGATTGTCAAAGTTGTTTCAATAAGCATAGACAAAACTGTGTCTTTAAATTTCAGCGTATATCTCGATTAATACTATTGTCCCAATAGTCATTTAATATGGATATGAAAGTTGAAACTATAGAGAATAATATGCACGCTCACAAATATTCGTGCTACTTCTAGTTTTCTTACAATCTATTATCAAAGTTGTTTCAATAAGCATAGAAAAAAAAAACAGTGTCTTTGAATTAAGCGTATATCTCGGTTAATACGATTGTCACAATAGTTATTTAATATGGACATTAAAGTTAAAACTATAGAGAATAATATGTATGCTCACAAATATTCGTGCTACTACTAGTTTCCTCACAATCGATTGTCAAATTTGTTTCAATAAGCATAGAAAAAAAAAACAGTGTCTTTGAATTAAGCGTATATCTCTGTTAATACGATTGTCACAATAGTCATTTAATATGGACATGAAAGTTAAAACTATAGAGAATAATGTACATGATCAATTATATTCATGTTGTTGCTAGTTTTCTTGTAATTCGCTTTCAAAAATGATAAATTTGCATATTAATAATATGTAATTTATACTCGTGGAAATCCGTCGAAAAGCATATAGAGAGACTGAGGATCAAAGGCGCCATCAACGCCCATTCATTGTTACGGTTCTTTTACGTTCTTCTCCGCACTTTAAACTTCGTTTTATTTCTGTTTTTTTTTTATAATGCGACGGAAACTTTCTCCCGGATCCTCCGAAACGGCTCGAGGATTCAGTTTATTTACCTCACCCCACCTCAGGAACTGCGCTCGACCGGATTGCGTAACCCCAAACACAACGTGAATTCTCGTCCGAATCCATCGACGGATGGACAATGGACGGATTATCGCACCTGATCGATTGCCAATCGATTGAATAAACCGAAACGCAATCACAAAATGTAATGAATTGTGCGTAATCGAAAATTTCTATTCCCAATGTCAGCTCGTATGATTCAATATGTGGAATTATGCAAAAGCACTTTTTGGCAACGTTTTCAATGAAAAATGAACATAATTTCTTTATCTAAATAATTATTAATGTTTGATTACATGTTTCAACTGGAAGGAATATGTTTTGAATGATGCAAACTCGATTTTTTTTGTAGATTTTGCAAGGTTTTTCAATATACGAAAACTTCGTAAAAATCGATTGAAATATCTAAAAATCAACTTTGCTCTTCCATTGAAATTTGTTACTGTTGAATAACCAACTCAATGCGTCAATTGTTTATGTCACCGGCATTGTGTCGGTCTCGTAAAATTAAATAATAGTGTTCTATTATATCAGCAGTGTTAATTTATTTCGTACGCATTGCGCGGCGCACGTAACGCTCGGAACGCGTTACCAATTTTTTTTCCTTTACGCTTCGATTGCGTAACGCCTTGGTGGGATACGAGCGCGATGGTAAAAAAGGCTCTTGTGAAAGATGGAAAAAAAGGGAAAGTGAATCGGGAATCCCTAACAGGATCCGGAATGAATCACTTGGGTGGAATCAACGACCTCTCCGTTGCAACACAACAAAGCGTGCTCTAAGAAATGAAGAGTTAAATAACTTTAGAGTAATTGAAGATTCAGAGGAATATGTAGAAGATTATGGTTCTTGGAACCATATGAAAGTTTTCAAACGATTCTCACGAATAATTTGATTGATTGTTAATTTTTTTGTTGGCAGTTATCGTATTAGATAATAGTTTATTGATGAGCACATCTGAAATGCTCATATTTTGCAGATAAAGCTAAGATAATTGAAAGTGTTGGATTTATTTAAATCTCATAGAGATTAGTCCGAAAGAAAGATATTAGATCATTGCTGAATGAAACCAGATTCGTATTTTCAAATGTAAATTTCGCGAACTTTCACTTTCTTCGGTGACATCATCGTCGCCGTTTGTTGTTCTTTCTTCTGTCGATGTTTAATTACAATCGCAATTAGCGTGCATTATGTATGTATGTTTCTTTTTTAGACAGAAAACGCTATATCCAATACACATGTCGACACACATTTAGCATTTGAGAATAGAGATACAAACTCATTCAGGGTTCGGAGTTCTTTGAAAATTCGTTTGAAAATTTCCAAATTTCGCAAGAGAGACAGCCTTCGGCGCGACAAATCGAGACGTCGTTGCGATTGTTGCGTAACGCGTAATAACAATGATTCACGGAATACCCAGGTATTCCCTGCTTCGAAAGACGTGCAAGAAAAAAAAACATAATAATTGGGACAAATTAGTTTTGAGTTATAGCGCTAAGGTCAATCCGTATTAAGATTTGGTTATGATAATAAATAAACTTACAATATTACTTGATTTTGCCATAAACATAAAATATGTTTTAATATTAAAAAGAATCATAATTAATGCGGTTTTTTCTTTGCTAAAGTGAGTGAAGGGAAACTAATTAATTAAAATGCACGTTTGAATGATGAAGTTTTTCGTGTGTTCTCGATGAGAGAGAAAGAGAGGAAAAGATCGCTAAAATTTAATGGTAATCCGTTTCGATGGGTGAAAGCATTTACGTTTTCTTTCGCTCCCATGGTATTTCAATGGTGAATCATTTCAGGTGAGAGAAAGAAAAAATTTCTCTTCAGCAACAATAGCGCGCAATTCCGATATTCACCGAGATTGGAGTTAAAACAATTGTTTAATTTTTTTTTTGGGAAAAAGAAAGAACTTATGATAAATTAGTTTTTGGCCAATTATCGTCGTGGGTGTAAAGAAGTGAAACTGTCTCATTGTTTCCACCCACTTTGATACATTCATTCGGAAGCCGCCGATTTTTATCTGCAATAATTACGTGTATTTCTGGTACAATTTGTTTGTAGCGTAAAAGAAAGTGAATGAGAAATAAACAATATAATTAGAAATGATTTCTGTTTAACAAACATGTCATTTCGAAGGCAACAACTGCGAATCATAGAAATTGGCTGTAATCGAGAAAATGCTTTCTTCTGCTGTCAACAATGAAATTGACTCTACTGGAATAAATTGCTATAGTAATAAGTTATAACAACAATCAAGTTTACTCGATTAGATTGAATTTAAATAGTGACAAGAAAATATGAAATTTTCTATCATTTTTCTCAGCGGTCGGCAAATTTATTAGCCAAATCTGCTTGTTTAGTAAACTTTTATTACACTAAAGTAGTACACTAAATAAAACTAAATTTCATACTTAATAAATATTTATTAATGCGAACAATGTGGAAAGTTTGAGTAAGTTAGGTTTGTATGTTGTTGCGCCTCCGTGGATAATTGTGCCAGAGCCGCACTTAAGGAGCCACATGCTGCTCTGGAGCCGCACTTTGCCGACCACTGATCTATGTAATCAAGATACAAAACAATAATTTAATGATTGTTAATGAAATTTATAAGAAAAATGTTCTAATTTATAAGGTTTTAATCAAAAACGAGTCAAAATTTAGTTCAAATTTATATGATAATGAAAACAATCTTTCTTTTCTCTATTGGAATCTTTGGATAATGTTTGTTAGGTTTTATAGTGAATATATACAATCAATTTAGTTACATACATTTTCTTAAAGTAATTTATGTATAATGTACAAAATACAAGAAGTCTTCATACATAGTTTAATTGAAGTATTGAGTCCATGAAAAGAATACAAATTTCCAACAAATAAATAATATAATTGTAGTCCTGAAATTCTGAATGTAATCATTTTAGAAGAGACTTTAGATATAGTATTTTATGTCACCTAAAAACACTAGTAAATCTTAAAGTGTTTTCGCTTTCGATAAATTGAATTCATGAATATTCTTGAATGAAAAACGTACAAAAGAACGAAGAGTTGTAGGAACGATGACGTTCATGGTGTTGCGCAAAGGTTGGATCCTGTTTGTTTCCAGGAACTGGATGTCTGCAATCAACCCCCAACACTGTCGACGAAGAAGTCTAAAGAGTATATAAGCTGGAGACAGCCAATCGTCGAGCATAGAAAGTGAAACAGTGTTCTCTCTGCCCACTCTTTGGGAGCTCGACCGAAAATCCTCCAAAGTCGTGGACAAACAATACCCAGTCCACTCTCTCACCACATTACATTATATATATAAACGAAGACCTAGTGAACGAATCAGTTTTTAAGTGCACTCTCGACAGCAAACACTGGATTTAATTTAAGCGACAAGAAGCTACCTATACACCCTAAAAGGTTTGTAAAAAAAACTCTTTAATTTATTAAACAACAATTTCAATTTCAATTGATGATTATTAAAAAGGGCTTGAGTGTGCTGTATGGCATTGACCTGCAGGACCCTGACCGTATGTCGGAGAAAGTGTTGTCTTCGCTCAGCGCCGAACGCAAACAAAAAGATGTTATTATGAAGAAAGCACTTTCACTTCTCGCTCGAGGCTACCAACTAATTGAAAAAACCAATGCATATTCTTCATATTATCAAATTGGATTACGCAATAAAAAAATATTGTTATTATTAACATTGATGGCGTAATAGAACTAACAAAAAAAATGTGTAGATGTAAAAAAAGAAATGCCAAGATATTAGATCATCATTTCTACGAAGAAAGTTTTTTTTTTATTTTACGAAAGTGAAACTGTTGACACCCACCTGTCGCGAATTTCTCCTGAATCCTACGCGTAAACTGTATACTTTAATTTTCTTTTTCTCCAGGATGGGATTGTTGGTGAAAACTGCCTTGATGGCAGCCCTCTTGGTTGCGATTTGCAACGCCGAAGGCTCCTGGTCCTGGAACAAGGACAACGATCATACCGAGACGACTGTCGAAGATCAAGAGGCCAAAGCAACCGATGTTGATGAAATCGTCGATACCATTTTGACATCGGGACGGCAAGGAAGGAATCTCAAAGGATACGATGAGATTTACAGCGATCCCAGTTTCCAGGAGATCCTGCAGAAAGGGGATGACTCTGATGCCAGGAATTTGATCAAGGATAAATTGTGCAGCTTGGGTTTGATGCAGGTTTGTTACAATTATGATGATTTAATATTTTTGGGATTGCTAAATGATTTTGTTGTTGTTTTTGTAAATTTCAGTGCGATGATGTCGAAGGCAAACGTCCTACTTATATTTCTCCTGAGGATTTGGTTTACGCTCAACCCGTTGACATCAAACCGATCGGTCGTCCAATTCCTTCTATTCCAGTGAAAGGACCGCTTCCATCCAGAGCGTTCTATGGTCCACCGAAACCGATGCCTTTCCCACCGAAAGGTCCTCATCACGGACCACCACGTCGTTACGGACCTCCACCACCGAACAAACCCTTCTACGGTCCACCCCATATTTCGAAACCTTTAGGTCCGATCTTCGATAAACCGCCGGCGCCCGAATTCGACGTCCCACCGTACGAGTTCCAGCAAAGTAGCGCCATCTCCAGCGGCGGTTCTTCCTATTTCCACAACAAACAGGAAATCATCAAGCATCCGGTTCAGACGGAAAAGGAAGGAGTTCAGCAACACGTTCATCATCATTTCCATCATAACGCCGACGCCGACGGTTCCATCAAGCAGCCCACTGTGATCGTCAACAATCCGGTACCAATTCCCGTCGGCTCGTTCAAACCGAGCGAACAAATCTTGAGCGGCGGATTCGNCTTCTGCTGGCAGTTACGGCGGACAATCGATCGCTAATTACGGCTCATCCACCGGTTTAGGAACCTTCGGCTCCGTTAAACCCGTCGTGGAGAACTCGGGACCTCAACAGTTCGGTTCTTCCTTGTTCAGCGGCTCTTCCGGATCCTCCGGAGCTTCTTCTCCAGTCTACGCCGGATCCCAACTGGGATCTTCCGGTCAATTCGGTTCTACCGGTAGCTCCTCTTTATACGGTGGATCTTCATCGTCTTCGTTATATGGATCGCAATTCGGAGCATCGAACTCTGCAGGATTGAACTCTGGAGCAGGATCTTTCTCCTCGTACGGAACCGGCAACAACTTCGGAAGCACCGTAGGTTCGTACGGTAACTCCGACTTTTACAAGAAGGAACTCAACGTAAACAGCGGACTTCAATCCAATTCGTTGTCGGGATATGGAGAGAAATATCAAGGTTTGGAATCCGCCAGGGCGGAAAATTACGATTGCGTCTGTGTGCCGTTCAACCAATGCCCAGCGCAAGACGTCATCGGACGCAAAGACGACTTGTTCTTGGCCTTAGACCCGAGGAACTTGAAGAGCGACATCGAAGCCGAAGAAGAGAGAGTTTTGACCGATGGCAACGGAAACATGACCGTTGTCTCCGTTTCCAAATCGACCGGTTTGAATGTTACCGCCATCGAGGACAAGAAAGATGAACCGAAGAAGATTTCCAAGAGGGAAGCCACGGATTCCGCCAAGAAGGACGATACCACTAAGGCCGAAGCTGTAAGTACAAACACCCACACGTCGAAAAGACAGAAATAATCACCTGACTAGAGACTGAGACCCACTAAATACAAGACATGGCTTGAGTGTTGTTTAACGAAATTAACGCATCAATAACGACCCTATTTACAAATGGGTTCTGGGGCCTAAACATGAACTCCGAAGGTTCCAATTTTCTTTTGGTAAATCTTGCGTCTGTTTCGTTATCTTTTGCAGCGTCAAAGCCAGTACAATAATAACAAGAACATAAAACCGACGTTTGGAGTGTCGTTCGGATTGCCGAATCAAGGCGGCCAATACGCCGGATATCCGATAAACCCGGTCAACCCCGACAATCCCCTTGTCAATCCTTACGGCAGCGGCGGAAACGGCATCAATTTGGGCTTAGTTTCCGTCAATCCTCTCGTTTCCGTGCAATTGACCAAAGACGATTACGGCGAAAAAGTCGTCAAGCCTTTCGTCAATCTCCACGTAACACCCAACAATTTCCTCTTGCACAAAGTTGCCGATTTCTTCACCTACAAAACCCATTCGCTGCTGAACAACAACCACCAGCATTACCATCAGCACACTTACAAACCTCACTATCCACATTACCATGAACCCATTCACCATGGCCCCATCCATTCATCTGGACCTTACTTAGAGAGTCCACCACCACATTTTGAGAAACCCTATTTAGAAGAACCTCATTTCGAAAAACCCTATTTCGATAAACCTCATTTCGAGAAACCGTACTTTGATAAACCTTACTTAGAGCAACCCTACATTCAGAAACCCTATTTCGATAAACCCTATTACGATAAACCGTTAGATCAGCCGTTCTACGAAGACTACAGCAGCTACGGCGGCGCTGATTATTTCGGCCGCTCCTCACCAAACGTAACATTCGAGAACAACGCTCTGCAAAACTACGCGAACAATTATCAAACTTACGACTCTTACGGATATCCGACGCAAGGCTACGACGACGGCTTTAGCAAACGCGGTGGAAAATCTTTGCATGCTCCGAACACTGTTAAATTCCCCAATTCCCGAAGAAAACGTGACCTGACTGACAAAATAGAGAAGGTAAAAATGTCTCGAGACTTGACTCGCGAAGTTGCTGATCGTTTTTAAACTGATTCTTTTTTCTTTTGCTTCAACATTTCGGTTTTTCTTCTCCGCAGCGCCAATTCTACGGAAACGGATTCCCGCAACGTCCTCCGCCCGGCTCCTGCGGTCCAAGACACGTCTGCTGCAAGAAACCATTGAGGCCTCAGATTCCGAACATCCCGAACAAGCAATGCGGCATCAGACATTCTCAAGGAATTAACGGAAGGATCAAGAATCCGGTCTACGTGGACGGTGACAGTGAGTTTGGAGAATACCCATGGCAAGTGGCCATCCTCAAGAAGGATCCCAAGGAAAGCGTTTACGTCTGCGGCGGTACCTTGATCGATCCCTACCACATCATCACGGCCGCTCATTGCATCAAAACGTAAGCTTAATTAATAGAAAGCAATCATCGATGTTTTAACTTTGTGTTTTGGTTTAGCTACACGCCTTTCGATCTTCGCGTGAGATTGGGCGAATGGGACGTGAACCACGACGTGGAGTTCTTCCCGTACATCGAAAGGGACATCACCAACGTCAACATCCATCCCGAGTTCTACGCCGGTACTCTGTACAACGATTTGGCGGTCATCCGCATGGATAAACCTGTCGATTTCAACAAATATCCTCACATCAGCCCAGCCTGCTTGCCGAGCCCACAGGAAGACTACACCGGAACCCGTTGCTGGACGACCGGATGGGGCAAAGACGCTTTCGGCGATTTCGGAAAGTACCAGAACATTCTCAAAGAAGTCGACGTACCAATAGTTGGACACGGCGAATGCGAGCAGAGGATGAAGCACACCCGACTGGGATACGACTTCAAGTTGCATCCAGGTTTCGTGTGCGCCGGCGGCGAAGAAGGCAAAGATGCCTGCAAAGGTGACGGAGGTGGTCCGATGGTCTGCGAACGCGGAGGTTCTTGGCAGGTGGTGGGTGTCGTCAGCTGGGGCATCGGATGCGGCCAGCAGGGCGTTCCCGGCGTCTACGTCAAGGTCAGCCACTACCTGGACTGGATCAAGCAGATCACACAGAGATTCTAAATATCTACAAGCTTTAATTAAATTATTTATTTATTTAGAATTTACGTTTAAGCGAACAAAACAAACAAAAAAAAGAACACTTTCAGACATGTAACGCCTGAAAGATACGAGTAATGCGTGTACGCATCTATTCCAAGTACAGATCTTTTTTATTTTAATTGTAACATAGTATCTCTCTCTTTTTTATATAGTTGTAATTGTATAATAAATTATATATTTTTTAAATCCAAGTCAACTGTGTTCTCAATTAATCTGACATGTCGCACGAGTACAATTCGTTATACGGCGAAGAGGAATTCATCCCGGAAGAAGAACATGTTTACTATGGAGACGAGGAAGAGCAAACTAACAGATATGAGGAGTCGAGCTCTGCTGAATCGAAGACGCGATCGTCCGAACAACCGACGATTTGGGAGACGTTGCTCAAGGAATTCAACAGCGAACGAGATGAAATCGTTAAATATCGCAGCAGCAAAGAGAACGTTTGCGAAGTTGAAGACCGTAACTGACTTTATCCATGCTCGATTAATATCAATGATTATACAATTGCAGCCCCGATGATACGGTACATGGAAAGCAGACTTCTCTACTTATTGAAAGGAATCTTGGAAGAAATGTTCGATAAAGCCATAGAAACTGAAAGTTTAAAAGTAACTATAAAAATTATCTACAACTTTCACCAAATGCAATAAATGTTTTGAATTTATCAAGCATCAAAAGAGTCCTTTCAATGGACTTGATTACATCGCTGAGCTGCTTTGGAACTACAATCCGTTGTATCCAGAACGCAGGGCGGAGAATCTCTTCATACATGACATGGATTGGGTGAAAGACATTCTCAAAGAACGGTGAATCCAAAAAATATAATAGTATAAAATCTGTTAATAATTTTAAGTTAGTCCTAGACCGTATTTCCCGCTCTCTTGGATCTTCACCAAAGAAATTGCGGCTACGAAGATTCAAGCATACTTCAGAGGGTATCTAGTAAGGGAACGCGACGACGTTCAAGAGATGAGACAATTCTGGAAGGTTTTTCATCTAATTGAAATTTGTTTTTTGGTTTGCTCTCTTATTGATATCATTTCAGGCATTTAAACGAGAATCGCTGACTTTGAAGAAGTCCGTTGCCACATTTAGCAAATCTATGCAGATTCCTGGCAACAACGTTGATCCATCTTAATATATTACCCATGAGTTAGGTAATTTGTTTCTCATTGTCTTAGGATTATTAAATTACTTAAATAATTAAGTTTCAGATATATTTTACTTGCAAATTAATTAATTGGTAAATATATTTAGGTTGTTCTTTCTTCATTTAATTAAGTACTTTTGAATTGAATGATATAACGGTTATAGTTATATAAATATATTATTTAGAAATAAGATTTTTATTATAGGCAACTTAATGTGCAAATCGCAACTGCACACTAAAATTTGCAACAATTTCCTAGGACGTTGTAATAAAAAATGTTGTAATACTTGAATTATTGCCAACAAATGTTTATTTCGTCAAATAATCAGGTACATTCATCCTTTCTTCTGGGTAAAATAAGATTGGCATCAAATGTGTGTTTTTATTAGAAAAATAATCATTGCTAATATTACTTATATACTTTGTTTAAAACAAAATATAACTTCACAAATAACCGTACAATGTATGTATATATTTAGTTAATATAGATTTAATTTTCATAATTTAAACAAAAACAAAAAGAAGTAAATGTAAAAAGGTTTAAATAAATATATTTGCGGAATACTTGGCCATGAAGTGACGATGCGAATATCACAAAATTATCCTAGGATCCACACAGATACAAAACGACGTTTGCTTTTTCAATAAATTATGCTACATTCGTGTTATTATTTATTTTGTTGTTGTTGTTACTTCTTCTTGAGAACGTACTCGTTGATCATGCTGTAAGCCAGACCAACAGTCAAAGCTCCAACAGCCAAACCTTGAGCTCCGACACGCAACTGCATGAGGAAGACGCTCGGACTCATGTTGCCTCTCTTGTTGAACTTGTAAGCACCGAAGCCGACGGCACCGACGCAAAGAGCGATCGCTAAAAAAAGAGAACTGAAACTCTTTTCTTCATCGTTGTCTTCTTGTATATTTACCGACTGGAAAAATAGGCGTCTCCTTGGACTTCCTCGCCAACTTTTCCGACTGGGACTCCTCGTGATAGTCGAAGATCTTTTGGTCACCCATACCGGCCGCTGTAAAAATAAACCCAGTTGTAAATAAACAGCCTTGGCAAACCAACAAACGTACACACACACGTACTGTTACAAAAGAGGCTCAAATTCAATACAATACAAAAACATCAATCAACTATATCGATACTGTTTATCTAATCCGCTAAAATGAGTTATTCGCTCACTACAAAATACCTAATGTTCACTTCCAAACACTTCAGGATATCAATTATTGTCTATTCCAAACAAGAATTACCAACAACTTGGTGCAGTGCAACTGCTTATGAAGATACCAACAATTATGTAATGAAATACAAGTTTATCTCTACACGCAAATGCGGTGTTCGTATCAAACACAATGAGCAAACGTTTATCTTGAAATATTACTTGTTAATCCTAATCTATGAAACCCAATAATCGCGATACAAATTCTATTAAAAAATGGAAAGAAACAATACGTTATTTGCGTTACTCATCAACGAGAAATCGATACATATCTTTGTCAAGAAATACTATATTTAGATCTGAAAGCTTTCCATTTCATCGTAAAAACATCTTTATTATCCTAGATTTATGAATGTTCAGAACAATAATTTGAATCAAAGAAGTCTTCATTACTTGATCAACACATTTCGATAATTAAAATGAACAAATTTGACTAATAACACATGAATATTGCAAGTAACAAATTGTTATTTTTTTTAACACCTACAGGAAATTTCAATGTCATGTGTAAATTTTCATTAGCAATGATTAAATGTAAGTTTATTTTACGTTTTTTATCTAAAAATAACTGAAATTTTCTGAGAACGCCCAGAATATTGATTATTCATGTAAAGTAAACATATGAATTATTTCATTGCAACGAATCATCCAATTCATGGAAATTTCACAGCACACTTTCACATATCAATCAATGCATCTAGTACACTCAAGTCATGTAAAACTCAATTGTCAATCCTTGAAAAAATCAAATTTTGTGATGCTATTTTTAATGAGCTTATGATGCGTTCGTTAAATTAACGTAAGTGAGTGAAATCTGCGATCAATTAGGTTGAAATGATTCATACTTCAGTGGAAATACACTTGCGTAATGAATGAAAAAAAACAAAAGTATCAAACAAATTGAATAATCATTTGTTATTATTGTTTTTGGCACTTCCCATCTAGTCACGCTACTAGATCCTAATAATCATTTGCAAATTGTTATATAATAGCATAGCATAGCACGTTTTTTTTATATATAATTTTTGACCCTGGTCGAATCTTCTGGAGGGTTACAGTTAACTGCGTACGTCGAAGGCAACAATTGTAAATGACCTAAATTGTTTTAAATTGAAACTATTCTCAGATCTA